ATATTACCCTCCATACTCAATTTTTACTATAATTACATTTTATATACTCAATTACCATTTATGTACATTTTAAGGGAATTAATAATAATAATTAATTACTCTAACATATCTTCCACTCCCCCACGTTTCTCTCTCCATATCTCACCCCCTCCCCACGTATCTTGCACAAGAGAGCAGTAATTCCACCATTGACAACCATTAAAAAGCTTTGAAGCTTTGAATTTGAATTTGGGTTTTCAAAAAACATTGTTTGTTTGGATTGGATGTTATTGCAAAGAATTGAGAATTCTCTCTACGTCTCTCTCTATCTCTCAATCCCAAATTTCAGTAATGTAAAGCAAAGGAAAAGAGCACAACAATTCCACTATTGACAGCCATTAAAAAGCTTTGAAGCTTTGAATTCGAATTTGGGTTTTCAAAAATCATTATTTGTGTTGGATTGGGTGTTGTTGCAAATAATTGGGAATATGGTTTGGAGTTTATATCTCAATTTTGAGGGGTTTTGGTGAAGATTAGACTTGGTTTTGGCTGAATTTCATATTGAAACTCGAAATTGTAGTAAAATTGTAGAAAAATTGTATTATGTTGTTTATATATTTTTCTTTTATTTATTTTAACTATTGTATGAAAGTTGAACAACATTGTATAAAAATTATATTTAAGTTGTATGATATTGTAGTTGTATATAATTGTGTAGAAATTAATAATATATGAAAATAGTGGATAATTTGTAGATAAGTTGTATAATATATAATTTGTTGTATGAAATTTGTTTTTACTATATATAAATCAAATACAAAATATACAAAAGACATATTGTAGTCAATTTGAATTTAAGTTGTATGTTATTATAGTTGTATTTAACTAGGTAGAAATAACGTGTGAAAGTTGTAAATAAGTTATAGATAAATTGTATAATATGTAATTAGTTGTATGAAATTTATTTTTACTATGTATAAATTAGATACAAAATATACAAAAGACATATTGTAGTCAATTTGAATTTAAGTTGTATGTTATTATAGTTGTATTTAACTAGGTAGAAATAACGTGTGAAAGTTGTAAATAAGTTATAGATAAATTGTATAATATGTAATTAGTTGTATGAAATTTATTTTTACTATGTATAAATTAGATACAAAATATACAAAAGATATATTATATAAAATTTGTATAAAAATTATATTTAAGTGGTATTATATTATAGTTGTATATAACTATGAGGTGATAGAGGGTTTGGCAAAGGTGTCTTGGTCGACGTACACTGCTGTGCACTAACCAAAGCACCCAAGCAACCTTAATCATAGTCATACGACGCAATAAGACAAAAGAAATTGATGTTACCAATCAAGAGGAGCAATTGGGTTTCCTTTTTTCTTTTTCAAACTTGGGAATAATTGATTACATCACAAAAATTTCTGTTACAACCATGGCAGTAACATAAGTTCAACAGACAAAACTGCCACTATATTTCAGTAGTTACATGAGATGTAAGATCTCTTCGATTCTACCCTTGGTTATAAAATTTACGATCCCACTGGCCCTGTCCACACTGTGAAATGGTAATAGCCTTCTACGTTGTTCAGGTTGGCCTGGACAGCATGCATTAGCAGAATCATTCTGAATGCTTCCTTTGACTTTTCACTCAATTTCTTTGATTATTTTACTCGTTCGCAATGCCTCCTCTCCGCTCTCCGCCTCTCAGATTCAGTCATCTCCCGAATTTGCTTTGTTGCCTTAACACGGTATGTACGCATGTTCTACGCGTATATTTGTAGATGAAATGATCACACAATTTAACATGGTATGTGGTTTGTTACTGAATGTATAATGTGTCTGCATTTTTATGTTCAATTACTGTAACCTTTGGAATTTAATTAGGAGAAACTAAGTGGATTGCTTTATGCATTGAAATCATTTTTCCTGGTTCTGTTATATAATTTGCCAAAATTCATTGTTTTACGTGATTTGACATAGTAGAGAACAGGAGAATGAGATCATTGTTTTTGCTCATAGGTCTTTGTAGGGATGCAAATGAAATACATAGTATGGACTTTCTTAATTGAAGGACGGCCACGAGCGACTATCTCAGCTCTGCTCATATTCACATGCAGAGGCATTCTTGGATATGCTACGCAGCTACTGCCATTACCATTTTTAGGTTTTTTTAAAGAGATCGTATGTTTTTATATAAATCTATAACCGTACCGATAATTAGGGTAGGTTTTTTATTTTATAAAAATAAACCGAAAAAAATCGAACCGTACCGAATAAATTTTACATGTGAAAAATATATTCATATAGTAAGTTTAAAACTAATAAAGTATTAAATTTTTCATTGGATCTTGGAATTATGAAAACTGTTACAAGCCAATAAGTAATTAAACTCAAAATACTAATTCCTAAAACCTATTCTGCTACTTATACTTAAACTAAGCTATTTCAAGTATCTTTATTAGCAAGACACAAAGTATTCTAACGATTATGAGTAGCAAACTACAATGTTTGAATATGTTTCCTTTTATATAATTTAGATTTATCTTTTTAAATATTTAATATAGACTTTATTCTTGAGTCCCAACTTGGTTAATATCTTTCCACTCGTGTGATTTATATTTTCTTTGCTTTTACTTGGTTTCTTTTACGTTGGTGTCGAATAGTTGTGTATCTATACTCTAGCCATCTTTCATGTTTTTTTAATTCATTATCCTTTAAACAGTAAAAATGTTTAGAGAGATTCGCTAAGTCCTATAAAAGAACGTACGTTATTGCATTCTATTTTTACTGGTGAATTTTATATGACATTTAAAAAATTGCCGAACATTAACCGAACCGTACCGATACCGAAGTGAAACCGACATGATTGGGACAGTTTCGAAAAATCTAATTTTGGTTATACATAATAAAATAACCGAAAAACTAAAATGATATAAATTTTATAAAATAATCGGCCGAACCGAACCATTGACAACCCAGACCAGAGGTGAAATGACCAACAAATATTATATACGCTCTTTGTTTTGTCTTTCCTATGAATAAAAGTTTCATTTTTAAGATCTACTCTTCAATCTGTAGTCATAGGGGATTTGGGACCATAGACCAACTGCATAGGACACCTCGGGTAAAGGAGGAGGTGCTGCTTTGTTGGATTTTGGTTTTGGCAAGTGCCTGTCCGCAAAACTATAATAAAAGTGGAATAAAGATAACCTCAAAGCTTTTGGGCTCACTGAGAATCTTATCAGATTTCTGATGAGTAAAAAACATGATTCTCATCCATTTTCGAAGAAATGAGTAAATCGTGAGCTAATAAGCAATGTATATAACTGGGTCGTATAGGAAGATTACTGTATTTTAAGGCGGAGGAAAAATATGGAAAGAGAAGAGAGAAAAAAAACAAAGGAAAATGGTGCAACTAAATCCCTTAATTGAAGACACTAATAATGGATTGGGAGCCTTTTAAGGTGGAATGTATATATTTTGTAAACAAAACTTGTATAGGTAGGATAATTTACTAAACATGAACATTTAGGGTAATAAAGTTTCCAATAGTGTATAGAAATAAAAAAATCCCTTAAATTAAATATAGGTAGCCCATACTTTTGTCCTCAGCTTTTCCTAGTGTTTATTTTATGGGAATTTGCATCTATACCCGATTTTTTGGTCACGTTTTAACTTGTGCTCGCTTTGCAAATAAAAATTGCAAGCGTACCCACTTTTTCACGTAACTTTAGCATACGGGGCTGAAGTAGCAAAGACAATCACGCAAAACTTCAGCATTCTAGTAGACGGGCCTGAAGTAGCAAAAATTGTTGAACCAAGTGTGCTGAAATTTTTGTTTGTAAATGCTGAACTTAAGCTTATTTGCTGAAGTTTTTGTTTGTAATTACTGAACTTAAGCATAGTAGCTGAAGTTTTGTTCTCTATTTGCTGAAATTTTTGTTTGTAATTGCACTAAATAAGCTGAAGTTTTTTTGTCCTGGATTCATTAGTTTTGTCATTAAGCTTTTTCAAAAACTTCAGCAAAAGATGTTGAAGTTATTTAGTTCATTTATAAAAACTTCAGCACTAAATAAGTTGAAGTTTTTTTGTCCTGAATTCATTGGTTTTGTCATAAAACTTTTTCAAAAACTTCAGCAGAAGATGCTGAAGTTATTTAGTTCATTTGTAAAAACTTCAGCACTATATAAGCTGAAGTTTTTGAAAAAGCTTTCTAACCTACTAGATAAATAATCAAATTGCTAACAGTATCTACATCATAAATTTTGAAAACAATAAACATGAAAAGAACAGAATTATCATGAAAAGAATCACTAAGTGTAACCTTAAACTTCCCGTACGTGAAAATATTCACAAATTATTGTCTACTAACTTACGTAATTATTTATAATTTTTTTAAAAATAATCTGATAAACATACTTATGGCAATCATCCCATGAACTAAAGTTTCACAGCAGCACCAACAGCAGCAGAAGAAAGAAGGAGAAAAGGGGCTGGAATTGTTTAAAAAGTGGGTAAAAATTAAAAGTTTTTAAAAAAGATAGGTATAGATTAAATAGGGGCGACCAAATAGGGCGCCCCGTGCAATTTTTACTTTATTTTAAGCCCATATATATGGGATGGTTTATTGGGGCAGTGTCTACTATTTACATCCGGTAGCCGAAAAAGTATATATAATTTGTATAATTTTTGTATTTAACATACAATATATATATATATACACAAAAAATTTATACATTTTTTCAACTATTTTTTTTACAGCGGCTATACAGTGTCATTTTTTCTTGAGTATTACATACCTGGAATATGAAGATCTTATATCTAATTCAAGCCTCATGAATCAATTAGGTCGGACTTGGAGGAGTCGCTAATAGTAGTTGGTGATTGTGGAAGTGTTAGGTAGGTCCAAAAGCCGCGTGTTTTGAGCAAGTGAATTATCTACTCTTAATTCTTGGCAAAAGAAAGCCCCATGAATGACCAAACTGAGACTTGGGTAGACAAAGTTAAAGAACATTTATTGCTCTACGGCATTTATTAGGTAGTAAAATATATGTTTCCAAAGGTTCTTTTAAGCTTCAATCTGTGAGGAAGTAGCCCATTTTTCGTCTACACAAAAATGAATTAACACAATTATGACGGCAAGAGAACTGGGAAGCAATGCAAAGACGACATCCCAAGCAGAAATGTGCCACTGAACAATTTCGACTAAACCTATTCTCGTAACTGCAGTTCAGGATTACGGCGACAAACCACGCCTATGAAGGGTATCTTGTCTCGGGCATATTTATTCAGGTGATGCAAGGCATAAAACAGGTACCATACCTCTTCCAGAAGCTTATACAAAAGGGTACAATCAAGCAGGCAGAAAGAAGGAGAAAGTATGCTGAACAAGGACAAACATAAACCTCAGCTTGTTTAGCCAGTAAGTGCAGCATTGAGCGCACTATGTACATCAACGCCAATCTGGGCTTCAGCTTTCTCTACATCACTTGATGCAGTGCTTAACTTTTGGGTAAATTCAGTCAGGCCCTTCTGAACCAAATTGGGATCAACGCGGTCAAGTGGTACGGCTTCAATAGCAATTATATCTGCAAAAGAATTTGCATGAACAAATGCAAACCCACCACTCACAAAATACTTGGAGACATCGTTGCCTTCATGAACTGATAGGACACCGGGCTTCAGCTCAGCAATTGTTGCCACATGCCCAGGCAAGACACCCATCTGTCCCGTAGTTGAGGGGATTATAACCATGTCAACCTGGAATATAATGCTAAAAGGATGAATTACCAAGCTTGAGGTCTATGCACATAAGCATATATTAAATCTGACACAAGCTTTCTCACATCCTTGACACATGTTGAGACATTGGATCACAAATTTACTCTGATTCAGGTTGGTTCCAGTATTTAATCTGAAACTTAATGGGGGCTAAAGTCAGCTGCTCCGATATGTTAACAACTAATCTGTGAAAATAACCACCTAAGCAAAATATGCCTAATTGAAAACCAAGTATATAATGGCACCAAATTTCCGAGCTGATGGTGACTGTTGCGGAGTTTATCACAAAAGCTATGAAAGAGATGCTTTTGAGAAAAGAAAAAAAACTGATGTTCCTCTAAAGTCAGAAATGAACTTAACATTTAGAGACTGATTTGGTGATTCTTCGTAGCATAACAATAAGTAGAAAAGTCACCAAATTTGTTATTATTTTGAAACCACTCTTGCACAAAGTCTTTCTCGAGTAGAATGCTAACACTCGAAGGAATTAAAAAGACACAACAGAAAATCCAAATTATACGAATGAAAATGTAGATTGTCAGTCGCTTTACCCAAGAATAGATGATTGCCAACAACCTAATCATCCCCTCAAAAGGACACTTCCCCCTGATTTCTGCTTAAAGCAATTATTATACAACATGAAAATATAAGAAGTTTCAAGTATACAACTTTCATGGACCTTAAATTTATTTACTAAAGATTTTCCTTCAATCCAATTGATCCCTGAATATCAAATTTATCAAGAGAAGCTACTTCCTTAGCACCAGTTCTCTCGACCCACTTCCCATTGCAGCATCCCCAACTTACTTTACTTCCCTAACGTTCTCACATGTCAATTACAGATATTTTAAAACTGTTTCAAACTAACTCCTATGTGAGACTGGATTTAAATTCTTTTCTTGAAACTCCAAATTGGTCAAGTGAGACCAACTAGAGGGAATATTGTGCAAGAAAGCTCCTTACTCTAGCTGCTTTCCTTCTCTTTCTTTTTTTCCTTTTTTTTTTCTATGTAGACCGAGATGGTTTTAATAAAAGATATTGACTATAAGCAGGCCTTATGCACCCTAGGAATCTAAGCCATTTTTTATACAATATGGAATTTCTTCTTTACACACAAAAAAAAAAAAGAAAAAAAAACGGAGAAAGAGAGTATTTTGGACTTTTAGTATTAACCCTCAATCTCATCAAAAGTTTTTTTATGCATCTCTCCATATTAATCAAAAGATACATGGACCAATAGACGGACAGTCTCCCATATCTGTTTTTTTCTAGCATCCATCTTGCCAACATCTCCGCCACCATTCTAGACTGCAATCATACTTCATAATAAGCACCTTCTTCCAAAGAGAATCCTCCTCGCATGCAGATCCCTCATCCATCTTGCAAAAGAGCTCGATTAACCATCGCTAATCTCTGAATGCCTAGACCCCCAACCCGTTCCTAGACACGGCTGAACAAGAGATTGTTCAGGATAAATATTTGGTAACAAAACTGAGGAGCCTGCAGTCAAATGAGAGAACTACCTAGAAGAGTAATTTGGCTCATAATAGTGGGGACTTGGAAGAGTGCAACTACGGCAGTGACTGGCTGGATCTGTAACTCTCTTCGTCCCTCCCAACATCCCTACTTTAGCTTACCTATCATGAATTAATTCTGTACCACAGCTTTGTCACCCCATTTGAATTTTCAAGATGGCAATCGATACTACAAATGCAAGACCGAATAATGGAGCTCCAACTAAGAATTTCTTAACATTTCTTTAGACTCAATGACTGTTAAGCCAAATCTGTAAAATGTTTGCTGAAACTCCATTATTTTTAGCAGTAAGATGTAGACACGCATGACAAACCTTAGTAGACACGCATGACAAACCTTAGTATACCATGAGCTTGAAAATTGAAGGTATTAAATATTTATGACAGAGGAAGTATAATTAGATGTTTTTAGTGACCAAAGAAGCAGTCAACAGCATTACGGAACAGAACTCATACACCAAGCTTCCCTAAATTTTGTCACGCCAAGCTATGGTTGGTGAAAGTATGGACAGAGTGAAAGGGGAAGGGAGAAATATTTCTAAAAACTCATGAGCAAGTGCCAAGCTGAAAAACAAGAGGTATGCTCAGTATATTAAGCATGGACTCCATGATCCTTATTTGTTCACCTTTAATAGATAAGATCGTGATCTTATCGTATGTGTTAGTGATTATATAGCTTGTATTACTGTCACAGCCAATTCACCAAATGTGAAGTTAGAAACAATTCAGAATTGTGAAATGGTAGCAGAACTTATCTATCCCAAGAATCCTCAAACGAATTCAAGGATCTTCATAATTACGACCATGTTAAGCTTTTCTAAAAAAAATTGAATTTATGTAACATCTCTAAATCATGAGCTACTTGACCTTCAAGGTAGATGCTTAGTACTTCATCCCATTTTAAGTGACAAGGTTTGAATAAGCACATAATTTAAGATATAAATTTGACAATGTATTATATTAGTGATGGTAGACATAATATTTCAGAAGATCAAGAAGAATGCAATTCTTCTTTTTGTTTTTGGCCTAAGAAGTATTGGGGAGATGATTTTTTATTCCTTCTCCATTTCTGAGAGTTGGGAAAGGTAAATATTACTATATTCTTTCTTCCCTCTTTTCTTCATCCCTGACTTGTTTATCTTATATATTCGATTAATCCTCCTCTTCCAATTCTATTGATCCAAGAACCCGATCCTAATGAAAGAGATGTGAGTGTCAATCATTCTCTCAGCATGCTCAAAGAGTGCTTTCCAGAAGATGGGGTAACCGGGCTCCTTTCACTTGACTGGTTAGTTAGGAGTTATCTTTTTTTGCACATCTTCACTCTTTTTCTCTTTCAAACTAGGAGGAGGACATAGCGCGATTCCAGATTTCCGAGGACATGGTCCTTGATAGGAAAGTGTGGAGGTCAAGCATTAGGGTTGTAGGATAGGGGGTAGTCAAGCATTTTTCCTCGTTGTACCGGCTAGTCTGATAATGTTTTATCTAGGATTGCTAGCAGTTTTTGTTGTGTTTCACCTTTTTATATATATATTATTATTATCATTATTATTATCGCCCTCCCATTTATGTGTTCTCTTACGATGCTAATATATTTTCTGGTTCTATTGTTGTTACTGATCTTGTCTCTAAGCCGAGGGTCTCCCGGAAACAGCCTCTCTAACTCTCCGGAGTAGGGTTAAAGTCTGCGTACACTCTACCCTACCCAAACCCTACTAGTGGGATTTTGTTGCGCTGTTGTTGTTGTTGTTGTTATTTTTGGTGTAAAACAGACCACAGTGATGATTTAGAATCGACTCTACAACTCTTTCCATTAAACATCCTTTCTGGCTCCCAGCACAAGCTTCGTGCTGAAGGTAATCAATATACCGGATATGTTACCTTCTAAAAAAAAAAGTCTTGAGGTAGCAGTTGAAAATTTTGTTTAATAGAGATGCATTACAACAAAGCTTAAAACTTGTATAGTTTAATGAACTTGAATTCTTCAAAAGTTTGTATAAAATATCAATTATTGTAACATCGTAAACATTTTGGGACGTCCAAAAGAAAGTCGCATGCAGTGGGACAGCATACAAGTTTATGACTTATAAATTATCTACTGAAATGCAAAGATAGTTAACATTTAGTGCTGAGCATTAAATTTAAAACACCAATAGCAATAAAACTCAGCCATCAACCAAAAAAAAAAAATTACCTAAGAGTATATAAAATAATTGATAATGCATCGTCAATATTGATTACACTAAAGGTTATATGTCTCTGTCATCTAATCTATTCTCTCTTTGCTGCCTCACTCAGCTTCCTAAGCGTGAACAGCAGTCTAGAATATAACCCCAAACCCAAATAAAGAAAGGAGATCAAGGGGCAGGCAAAAAGAAAGAAAAAAAAAGGCACAAAATACAGAACGAGGACAAAAGAAAAGATCAAATCTAGCATGCAAAGAGACCTAAAAATGTTAGAAACTATGGAAATTACGCTTCAAAAAATGCTATGACTGCTGTCTATGTTATTACTGCATCAGTAGCTAAGTCAACCTATCCAGGGAATCTCATTTCTAATTACGTAACTTTAAGCTATGATCATCTCCTTAGCTCCAAAATAGTAAAGACTACCAATCCACATTTCTATTTCAAGACATGGTAGGGATGAAAGAATAGATTTTGATCAGAGGAAAAAATAGAAAAGGACTATTGATAAGTCAGATATAAGCTCTGTCGTTGTCCAAATAATCAAGCAAACAGAGAAAATAATCCAAAACGTTGGTAAGAAAAAGCTAAAAGTTAAATATGTCCAGGTACAGTCTAGAGACCATAAACAAGTCAAATTAAAATAATAAATCTCCGGACATCAGTATTAGTGTTTCACATTTCCGTAGGGAGAACCAACACTAATCCATCTATCAATCAACTAAACCTCAATCCTAAATTAGTCAGCTATATAAATCCTCCGTATTAATTAATGCTCAAATTAGGAGTCAAAAAAATTGGAAATTTTTAAAAGGGAATTAGGAGTCAACCTCTTTACTGGAGAGTTCAGAAGAGTAAGGAAGGACGAAGTTGACTGTAAGCTTTGAGGGAATGGATGATGGAGTTGCGGGCCTAGTGGCCATGAACGCAGATGGAGTCTTTGGTGGTTCTACGTTGGGAATTGCTTTCCTCCATGCCTCCAGGAAGTTGGAATCTACAGGGGCTTCCGCCGCCAGGTCGGTCGAAAATGGACGGCGCCACCTCATCGTGGTGGCCCTAGATACGAGTCGTGAACCGTGTCGAAGCATCGCCAGATTAGGAAGCGGAGATGGAGATGGGCGGCAATTGCAAAATCTGGTCGGAGATTGGGAAGGAGGGACCTGGTAGTGGAGTTTACCGGTTTTAGCTGGTAGTTTGTATGAAATTGGGAAAGTGTAAAGGGCATCACAGGCCCAAGTTGATATGGGCCATTTATACACGTTAAGGATAAAATGGCACTAGGTGAAAACAGGGAGAAATTCAAAATTAGCCAGATTTACAACTAGTCGTTCAAAAATAGTCCAGTTTCAAAAGTAATCGAAATTTAGTCACTTTTTATATAAAGATAAATCTGAGCAAAAACACTGTTCAAAACCCGAAAAATACGCCAGTATATTATGCTGGAGTTCCAGCATAAGTATACTTGAACTCCAGCATATACTTATACTTGCTGGAACTCCAGCATAATATGATGGAGTTCCAGCATAAGTACACTAGAACTTCAGCATAATATACTGGAGTTCCAGTAAGTATACCAGTCCAGCATAATATACTGGAGTTTGGAACACCGGTGCTCCAATCTCCAGTATATTATGCTGAACCGGTCTCTATTGCAGAAAAATAGTGGCTATTTTTCATTGACTTGGTAAAAGGTGGCTATTTTTGAATAACCAATCCGAAAACTGGTTATATCGTGCTATTTTTTAGCCTTATAGTAGGTTTGGCAAAGACAAGTAGACAACCCCAAACAATTGGTATTATATAGCCAAATCCTAAAAAAACTACTCTCTTATATACCCTCTCAAACAATTTGGCACCCAAACCGTGTGCTTCCCCCTCTCCCTCCCCCTCTTCGCCGCTCACTTCTCTTCTTTTTCACTACCTCCC